AGCGCTGGCCTTGTAATCCTGGGGTCTCAGGTTCGATTCCCGGTGGTGCCCGAATTTATAACTTGTGTTGGGCAAGGCCGTGGTCTAGGCAACACGGAGTTTTCCTCTGGGGGCTTTCCCGGTTTCTCCGTGGCATCCCATTCACACACAGAAGAAGGCAATGGCAAACCACTTCTGGATCATCTGCCAAGAACGTATATGAACAGGTCCCAGTCCGAGAAAAGGATGGAAGGATCCTGTTCATATGGACCTATCGTCAGACAGAACACTAATAATAATAACCAATAAAGACATACAATCAATTGTGGTTTCAATTTTGACATCGGGAATATAGTTTTCCACCTTTAGTGGGAATGAAAGAGACGTATGGATAAGTTTCCACCGACCCAGTTAAAGATAATACCTTTCTGCCCTTCTTGACAATAAACTGAATTTCATTGTATTTTATTTTTTTCATTCCAGGAAATGAAGACGCTCCTGGAAAAATCTACTTGTTTCGTCCGTCTTTTAAGCGAATGTCTACAGTCGTTGTGCTAGAATCAGGCCTATCGGAAAGTTCAATGTCTTTCAATACCAAGATCACAGTGTTTCTTGCAGAACTGGAAACGGAAGTAAGGAGAATTTAGAAGAGAAAAGCAGACATCGCTGGTTTTCGTTTTTAGTTTTAATGATTTCAATCGATGCTTTCCGAATTTGAACATTGATTCAACAGGCATTTCAGGAGAAAATATTGTAACGAAATGCAACATAATCGCAAGGATTTTAAGTGTCTTTACGCAGTTGTCTTTCTGTAATTTTACCATATTTCAAACTACTGACTCACTACAGATCACAACCATCCATGAGACATAGTACACTTGTTGCAGCGTGTGGGAACGATTAATATATATTAATTAATAGTATTATGTTTGCTTAAGGAGACAGCGTATTATGTTTTACGGGACCAATATACAGAACCTATATATTTGTGTGTGCTTGTGTTATAAAGAAAGCAATACGCTGTTTCGATATTCGTATTTTCCGTGTTTAAAATATCCTTATCATATATTTTTATTTTAATGAGTGTTCTGAAGTAATAAGAAACAATAATTTCGAAAGTACAACTATATTTAATCAAATATAGGTCTATATTCGTGTTAAGCTGTAATAAAGTGAGCAGGGTAAAACTGTCAAATTGTTCGTGTTACATATTTCATCAGTAATATCTGTAAATCGCGTTGTTAATAGATGAAACTGTGACTAACATTTATTATATCAAGACGACTTACTAAAACATCTTTATCATAGTTGTGCTCAGAAGTCGCCTTATCGTGAACGGACAAGTATTGTGAAATATTTTAAAATTAAAAAGTGTTGGTTTTGAAACATGTTGCGAGAAACACGGACGAAGGATCTATTATGTATAATTATCTATGATTGAAATTTAAAAAGTCAGTTTCCTGTACGTTAAAAACGCGGCAAAGTGAACTATCGATTTCTTGTGAACTTTACTGACATTAACGAACAGAAACGAGTTTTCGCTGTTTTTTTTCAACTGTTCCGTAACCAAAACGCAGTGCACACACGGGTTATTGTGTGAGCAGTGGTCGGGAACAAGGCTCTGAAAATAGTTAGGCGGGGTTTGCGCCGATTGTGAAACCACCTCGCCTTGCCCGATGCCCGCCACGGCCATGTTTTCAAAGTTCAAACACGGAGCGACGGGACAGAATGCCCTGGACAACAATCCCATCGTTCAGTTCTTTGAGATCGGAAAGCAGACAGCCAGCGCTGGACCAGAACTGGTATGGCGCATCCATGACGCCTACAGGAAAAGCGACGGAAAGGTAAGATTTGCACTGATTTAACATCTAGTCCTGTGTCAGAGGTGAAACTTTCTGCACGAGATATAAAGTAAAAACATTGGTTCCACGCAGGTTGTTCGGAAACACAGACAGGATTGTAAGACTTGAGGTTCTCACAGCGGTGAGTATGAAGATTTCTGTCTTCTGGGTTGTTGCGCTGTGTAGTCTGGTAGAATCGCCCTGATGACGGAGGCAGTATGACCTCTGAAACGTCGGTAAACATCATAGTTTATACAGAATTTAGTATATAATAGTGTAATATATTGCAAATTGTTTCAACAGTGGTAACGTTTTTAGTAAGGGGCAATATTTTTAGGACAGCATTCAGCACGACGTCATGACTTCAAGGCTGAGTTAATTCTCCGCACAGACCGACAGACGGTTGCGCGCATAGTAATCGATGGTTTACGTCAGACCAGTCAACAGGTAGAATTTCCGAAGATCGCACCGGATGCTCTGAACCAGGCATGATAAAGTTCTGCTACTCTCAGCCAGATTTTAGATAGCATTTCCAAGACGAATGACAAAAACTTTGGAAAGTTGTCAGTGCTAATAGTTTTGATTTTTTTTTCCAAGTTTAAAGAAATGATAAGGTAATGTGAGGTGGCCACGGTGGTCTAGCGGTTAGAACGCTGGCCTTGTAATCCTGGGGGTCTCGGGTTCGATTCCCGGCGGTGCCCGAATTTATAACTTGTGTTGGGCAAGGCCGTGGTCTAGGCAACACGGAGTTTTCCTCCGGGGGCTTCCCCGGTTTCTCCGTGGCATCCCATTCACACACAGAAGGAGGCAATGGCAAACCACTTCTGGATCATCTGCCACAACGTATATGAACAGGTCCCAGTCCGAGAAAAGGATGGAAGGATCCTGTTCATATGGACCTGTCTTCAGACAGAACGCTAAATAAATAAATAAAAGGTAATGTGGCAGAGTGGTTAAAAGCAGCAGGTTGTTGATTTACTTGCATACGTTATTAAATAATACCATTTAGGTTTTGGCTGAAATACGTACGAAACAATGAAGAGAGGTGCTGTCACTGTAAATTAGTTACTTTCTGCATCTCAGAAAATCAACAGTTGAATGCAAATTGCTCTCATAAAACAATCAGAAGAAGGAAAATGAGTTGGCTATGCGAGAGATAATAAGTGCATACAAAAATTATAGTCGGAACACCTGAAGGGAAGGGCACTTGGGAGAATTGCTCGTAGATGGGTGAGTAATACCAAGGTGAGTTTAAAAAAATGGGGGCGAAAATTGTGGACTTGTTTCATTTGGCGAATGGGAGGGCTCTTAAAACGGGGTGATGGACCTTAGTATTCCGTAAAATATTGAGAAATTATTGATCAGTCGAACGACTGTTAGCTTCTCAAGAAGAACTCTTCACATTATTTTTCCCGGTATGGCTCCATTGCATTGGTTGCTTTAGATTTCATATATAATTCTATTAACTGCTTTTAGTCAAGTTCTTAACGATTTTCATACGTTAATAACATAACTCCTGCTTTTTATTAATTATTCTCATTTTTCATTTATGGCCATACTTGTTTGATTACAAACAAAGATTCTAAATAATAAATGTTTTCACAACTTAATAAATTAATTGTTCCTATTTTAAATATGCTGAGACAGTTCAGTCGGTAAAATGCCTTGACTATGGGGTAATAAAAGGGATTCGAATACCGGCAGGGATTTTTCTATACGCCACCGCATTTCGACCGCCTGTAGGTCTCACCCAGTTGCCTACACAGAGAATTTTTACCTGTCCAATGCACACAGTCACACGACATTTCGTCAACTGTATTTTAATATGATTCTACCATAACATGCCATGGTCTCTTCTTTGAGGTTTTGTGATAAAAATTTGGTATTAATTTGCATCCGCGTGCGTGCAACATTCTCCACCCATCTCAACCTCCTCGGATTTGTCGTCCTTGTAATATTTGATATCAGATACATATTACGAAAGCTTGTTTTTTTGGTATAATATTTCCATTAAAATAATTATTATCTTTGTTTACCGTCAAATCACAATAAAATAGTAAGTTAAGATAATTAAAATGATTAAAATATCATCTTATGTTCCATATCGAGCATTCGATTTACATCGGAACATTCACAACATGTTTCGGTTTATCAAACCGTCATCAGGTATAAATTATAAACTTATAAACTCAAATTACAATTATTTATAGTTTTTACAATTTTATCATTTTATCATTTTTCTCAGTATATTTTATGGAAGTTGTGTCTAGATATTATTAATATAACATTATTGTTGAGGTGGTGTTATTGATGTTTATATAAGTCTGTGAAGTAAAAGATTCGAAAACATTCCGATTTCTGGTACCGCCTCTCCGTTTTAGTTCTCGTAAGAACTTTACCACATATACTAAATCTTTAGTGTGAGAGAATTAATTTTCACACAGCAGGTAAGATTATAGTTTTCTTGTAATGCGATATTTAGGTCTTCAGACAGAAAGGTAAAGAGGTACTCTATTGATGCTTTATATACCGGCAGCATTTTCAGTGACGCCTGTCGTCATATATTTGACGTCAAACCTTTATGCGTCAGAAGCATGGGGCTGTAACGGTTCCGGTCAAACGTCTGTAGTATCTCACTGTGTTTCTGCCTCCCACGGCAGTTTTGTACAAACGAGTTAAAACTTTAAATTGTCTCTCACAATGTGTGGGCGTACAATGGAGCGGCGTTCAGTCTTTTATAGACGTTCCTTTCTCTTTTGGTGGTATTGTAACTCGTAATGATTGTCTAAAAATTTTGTGACAGTGCATTTCAGTTCCAGAAATCTTTCTCACTGTTTTACGCTTTATAACAGACTTGCAGAGTCATTAAATAAACCAAGAAGTAATCAGGTTTGAAATCACGTTTTCTAGACAAAATACTTTTTTTTTTAAATTTTAAAAAGGAGTCTTCTGGGTTGTTGTACTATGTAATCTCCATTTGTACGAGATTCAAGCCTAAATGGAGGCAGCATGCTCCTCCGAAACGTTAGTATACAAACAGAATACTTTAAGGAACACCAACTTCGAAAATTACTATACTAACACACATTACCGTGAAAATCTCAAATTTTTTCTTCTGATTTAATTTAAATTAAAAGCAGTTTATAGGACAATCGGAGCCCATCCACAGTTCGAAAAGGCGGGCGACACAAATACAGCTCAGCGAATCAGTAATCGCTGTTTGTAAACATACATACTATGGGATGCGAAACTTTTAAAGATTATGTTTCACACACAAAAAAGGGTACATCCCACCGTTAAATAGTGATAAATTGTCGAATTTCATTCGGCTTGGTTACACTATACATATAAAGAACATTAAAGGAGGGATTATCAGTTACTCGTTTTCGTGTTGAAATATTCGAATAGAAAGATGAAAATAAATATTTTAAAATAAAGTAATCTGTTGTAATTATATTCTTGCATTTACAGCGCGAAGATTCAGCATTGCTAATATCCGCCGTAGGACACGACTCTGGGTCTATTAGTCTCAATCTCGAATCGTTCAGATAATCGAATCGTACTCTTTAAATAATTACGAACAGTTCCCATAGACGCTAACAGTTTCATCCTTTCTCCAAAAAAAGAATTATCGAGGTCAGAAAAGCAGTTTATGTCATGTGTGATTGAGAATGAAAAAAAAAACTTTTTGGTATAGAATGATATATTTAGATTCCTGAGGCTGTGGAGATGATTTTTAATCAAAACATTAAACTTGAGGTCACACACACGCACAAAGGATTCTTATAGTCTAATTAAAATAGCGGCTGGGACATGCATGTCAATTTCACGACACGTGCGACATACGAGTATATATGCACAGCCCAAGGCATTGCTGTGGCAAAGCTCTAACTGGGATTCAAACTGCTATGTAATTGATTGTAAATAATAGCTGTTCCTTTTATAAATTTCATAAAATGTCACTTTCTGAATGAGAAATATTCCTTGACTATAATAATGTTAATTATTAAGGAATAACAAAGTTTTTGGATATGCAGTTTACATTGAGGACATAAGAAGTATATAATAATTTCTTAAAAATTTGTGCCTAAATTGAGTGTATATAATAAATAATTGTTATTTCTTGTACGCTTCTATGATGGCTTATAATTTTTATTGGTTTCAACCTCAAATACTTCTACTTAAATTGTTATGTGAACAGAAGAAATGAGCATTTATTTTCGTTGATATTAT